TCCTTGGTTTTACACACAGAAGTTCCTTGGCAGTTACAACATGTAAAACTAACATCTTGGTTGAACTTCTGTAGTTAAACTAGTCCTGTAATGATACGATAACTTTAGTAACGTATTAAACTTTGAAGTTAAAGGCAATTCCTGTAAAGAAAGTACAACTTTAACATAAATAAAGTTTCAACACATGACCAATACATATGAAAAATAAAATAAAGCCGTGCGACTTTCCTTGAATGAAAACACAACAAAAAAAACAGAACTTTTAAATACTGATGGTGTTTTCCAAAGAGACTTTTCTAGAAGTAGTACATTATAATAGACAGGATGAAAAACAAGATATTAACTAAAATAGTAAAATCAGTTGTTGACTTACATGGACGTCGAAAAAATAGCGAAGAACCTGCTGTCGTCGTTCGGCAGTTTATATACACTTTCTACAAGAAATATACAAACACGGAATAAAGTTAGGGAATACGGAGAGACGAAACTTTTAACAATTAAAAATTTATAGGCCTTAGTTATATAACGATAACGGTGATTTACACTGGTTCGCTTTTTTTTATTCTTCTATAAAATATATATTTATTTAGTGAGTGACAACCCTTCTTAATATCATATAATGTTAATGTATCGATTAACCTTTTAATTTGTGGAAAGGTTAAATAGTTCTCTTATTATAAGAAAAGAATTGGCCAGTTTTTTTTAGGATTAATTTAATTTTCTTAAAAGAAAAGAATCATATCTTTAGATTTTGGTGACGTAAACGTTAAATGTAAAATGCAGAGCTTAACTCAATAATTTATTAAATTAGGATTGAATTACCAACTACATTTAAGTACTTATATCATAATATATACATAAACATGTGTAGAATAAATACAAAATGTAACGTTTAGTACTGTTCCAAACTTGATATTATAAGCCTAATTAATGTTTGTTTCAATAAACGATGTTAAGTTTTGCTTCCGATTGAATGTTCAGAACTTAAATTGGAAACAGGATAAAACTTAAGTTACGTACATACCTAAAACAAAATGTGAGCCAAGGTGTACAAACAGAAGCCTCGAGACAAAACTACGTGTTACAGTAGTGCATGGTGTAAACTAATATGCATAATTTCTTTGTATTAATAGATACTGAACACTAACTCGCATACAATTAACATACAAAAATAACCAAATTATTTAGTCTACATAAGTTAGATATTAGTTTCTACATAATTTATGTGTTAAGCTCAAATAAAAACTAACTAAATTCCCGTATAGACAAAAAATCTAGACTCACGTATTTCACTAAAATAGTACGGGAATTCTCCAGGAACGGAACAGTTCAGTCGTGCCTTCACAAAAGACGCCCAGTTTTTGTACAGAATATTTTTCCCGCCAGTGTCCCTCTGATAGAAAACAAAAAAATAGCTTCTGTACATGTTTCTTACAAATGGACTGTTAGCTGTATATTAACTTCAAATACCATAAAATGTTTAGACTAGAGAGAATTTATAATAACGATGTTCCAGGTCCTACGCTGACCTAAGAATTAATTATTTAACCATGACTCGATGGACAAGATTTCAACTTCCACTGTAATAACCTTTATCGAAGTATGGTAGAAAAACTGTTCACAGGTCTTCCAGCGTAAGTGGTCGTTTAATCAGTGGCTGACTAGTTTCTTGGACTAACTTCCTTATGAAAGCAGCCATTGATTTTGAGGTGATAATCGTCTGGTATTCTCGAGTGCACCGCTTTCTGCCAAGTGTGACAAGGTAAGTTCTGCAGGATAACAGGAGATTCGATCAGGAAATATATCACGGAGCGAACCTGAATTCTCTGGCTTTTGACTGAGCTTGAAGAATGAAAAGAACTGGCCACGATGTATGAGAGAATGAAACAACCCCCATTCAAAACACAATCAAAAATGTTGTAACTGCCAAATTACACACAGTTTTAACACGTTACTATAGTTATAGTATCATTACAGGACTAGTTTAACTACAG